GCTCTTTCGCTGTCTTTCTCTCTCTCTCTCTCTCTCTCTCTCTCTCTCTCTCTCTCTCTCTCTCCCTCTTTGTCTGTCTGCCTGTATTTCCCCCCTCTCTCTTTCTATTCCTTTGTCTCGCTCTCTCTGTGTTTCTCTTCCTCTTTCTTTTTTTCTTTCTTTTTACGTGTGTGCATCTCTCTGCATGTCTCTGTGTTTGTCTGCCTTTGTCTCTTTCTTTGTCTCTTTCTTTGTCTCTTTCTCCATCATCCCCCTTTTGATTTTTATTATTTTCGTGGTTTTGTTTGTTTGTCTGTCTGTTTGCATTTCTTCTCCTTCTCCCTTTGCTGCTCTTTGCTATTTTCTTTGTTTACTTCTTCTTTTATTTCTTTTTTTCTTTGTCTTTATCTTTTTCTGTTTCTTGTCCGTTTCTTTTTCTCTGCTTTTGTTTGAAGGCGGTAGGATTTACCTCTCCGTGCGGGGTCTGCGGCGCAGCAGCAGCAGCAGCGGGGGGCGCGGCTTTGCTGCTGCTGGTGGTGTTGCTGCTGCTGCTCATTCTGGTTCAGCAGGAGCATCACATCTTTCTCTCGTCATTCAAGGATACAGAGGGGCGGTAGAGCAGCAAGCTGCTGCTGCTGCTGCTGCTGGAAGCATCTCCCGCTGCGCTGCAGTTGCTGCGGGGGTATTCCTTTCTGCTTACTCTCCCCCCCCTCGGGAGAAGCAGCAAACAACAGCAAACGAAAAAGAAAGAAGGAGCAGCAGCACTTTAAATGCCCGCTGCACTCCCTGTAAGAATTCATGCTATGTTGGAGCTCCTTGTGTGCTGCCGCCTCAGCTGCTTGAGGGGGAAGAGGGGTTAGGAGGAGGTATCCCCACTGCAGACAGCAGCAGCAGCAGCAGCAGCAGCAATGATGCCGCTGGGGTGCTCTGCTGCTGCTGCTTGAGCCGACCTGCAGATGCAACAGACGCTGCCGGTGCTGCTCTTGCTACTAGCAGCAGCAGCAGCAACAACGGCGATGTCCTCATTGTTGCGGCACCAGATTTAAGGGCGTTAGCGCTGCTGCAGCATGGGAGCAGCAGCAGCAGCAGCGGGGGCGCAGCAGCAGCAACAGCAGGAGCAGCAGCAGCATCCGACCCGTCTGCCTCTGGTGGTTATTTCTTTTCGTCTGCGCGGCTGCAAGCAGCAGTAGGCGGCGCCTTGATGCCGATGCAGGGCTTCCGCGACAACAACAGCAACAGCAGCAGCAGCAGCAGCAGCGGTGGGTATCCTTCGGTGTGCAGCGAGTGGTATATGCGCTTGCAGCTAGGGGAGGAGGCGGGCCGCGTGCTGCAGGTGATGGAGCCATTTGCTTCGCCTGCCTTTGGGGTGCTGCAGCAGAGCAGCACCATTTGCCCTTCCCCCTTTGACGTACGGAAGCGCCGCCAGTGGCTCTCCCTTCCCTATGCAGCAGACCCTTTTGCTGCTGCTGCTGCTGGTGCAGCAGCAGAAAGGGGGGTTCCTGGGCACCACAGACTGCCTGATGGGGTCAGCAGCAGCAACCCGTACTGCAGCAGCAGCAGCAGCAGCAGCAGGCGGAAGGGGGTGTCTTTGTTGAATTCGCTGCCGTGTGTACAGCCTCCGGCTGCTCAGAGCGACGCAGCAGCAGGGGCCCTCTGTGGGGCCCCCAAGCTGCTAATCCTAACAACAAAGTATATTCTGCAGCTGCGGAGGCAGACAATTAGTCATATATATCTTCAAGGCCTCAGCAGTCTGCTTAAAGAGGGGGTACAGGGGCCCCTATGGCATCCCCCCTCAACGACCTCGTACGCTCGGGTTGGAGGGGGCCCCCACGGCTACGAGGACAGCTACCAGCAGCAGCAGGAGCAGCAGCAGCAGCAGCAGCAAGAGCGGGGCATGGTGTTGTCTGTGGGGCCCTACCGCAGCACACCTTGGCGCTGGGGAGAGCTGCTTGCGCAGCACATGTGTGAAGAAACCCAATTCGGTAGCGACAGCATGTTTGCTGTTTTCTGGCAGTTATTAGCAGACAACTTTGCTGCATTTGCTGCATTTAATGCAGTACAAACCACAGCAACACCAGGTGGGGGGGCCCTCCAGGGGGCCCCCGAGACCCTCGCACCCCCCTTCAGTCTCCTTAGCAAACAGATGGGGGCCCTACGAGTCAATAGAGGGCCCCACATTCAGCACTTAACTGCTTCCCAGCATGCGCAAGTGGGGGCCTCCCTAGGTGGGGGGGGCCCAGGTGCCTTCGAGACCCCTTTTGGCCTGGGATACATTGAGTGTTCGGAGCGGCAGCAGCAGCAGCAGCAGCAAGCTGCTGCTGCTGCTGCGGGAAAGGGGGCCTCTGCCTGCAGCAGTGGCGGCATCGGGCTGAGTTCAGCAGCAGCAGCAGCAAGTGCTGCTGCTGCTGCTGCAGGGGGGCAGCAGACACAAGAAAAAATGGCTGGGGTTGCTGCAGCCTGGCGAATGCTGACAGCTCTGGAGGTGCGGAGAGAAGCAGCAGCACCAGCAGGCACGGAGTTCATGAGCGAGCAGCTTTTGCTGCCCTTCATGCTGCAGCAGCAGCAGCAGCAGCAGGGCATGCTGCAGCAGCAGCAGCTGCAGCAAAACTGGAGCTCTAGGGTTCTTGGCTGCGCTCCACAGCAGCAACAGCATCAGCTCTTTCCGCAGCAAGCAGGTGCGTGTCTGTATCACGGAAGGAGCATTTGCGTGCCTGTACATGCATTGTTTTTCTATGCATGCATTATATTTTCATCCTTATTTCTCTTTCTTCTGCTCTGCTGCTGAATAGCTGCTGCGGGGTGTCTGTGACTCTTCAGGAGGGGGGCCGTTGCACTCTTCTGCTGCTGCAGCAGCAGCAGCCTCTCAGCAGGGAGGGGGCCCCTTGGGGGCCCCCTTGCAAGGCCTAACGAACACAGCTCGGGGCCTCGTCCTCTTTGCCTCCCGGCTGCTGCGGCCGCTATTGGGGACCCCCATAGTTGAAGCTGCTTTGCTGCCTTGTGGCTTGGCGCGCTCTGAACGGGATGAGCAGCAGCAGCAGCAGCAGCAGCAACAAGGAGGCAGCAGGAAGAGAGGGCGTGACTTTGAATGGGAGCAGCAAGAAGAATTGCATGCAGCGACACAGCAGCGGAAGCTCTCTGCTTGCCTTGTCGGCAGATTCTCAGCAGAGGCAGTAGCCCGCATGCTTTATAAGATTGCTTCTCTATACGAGGTAAGCAAGATATATCACAACCACTGCAGCAGCAGCAGCAGCAAAGACCCCTACGACATTCACTGGGTTCCCGACTTGTCGGCGGTTTTCTATGTTGCTGTTGCTGCTGTTATCTTTGCTGTTCCTCTTGTTGCTGCTGCTCCTGTGGTGTATTTACAGGTCGTTGATGCGGTGTACACGACTCTGTTTTTTGCTTTTGGGCAGCGAGCATCGCTGCAGCAGCAGCAGCAGCAGCTGTCTAGGGGCGGCTCTTGGGGTTTGCCTTCCCGCGGCATGCCGCCGCACTTCGCTGCGCTGCGCCTGTCAGGGGCCCCCTATCAAGAAGGGGGCCCCCTGGGGGGCCCTGGGGGCCCCTCTGCTGCAGAGGCAGAACAGCAGGACATAATTTGGAGTTTAATTCCTCTGGGTGATGCTGTGGAGCTTAGCGTGTTGGTGCGTCTCGTCGTTTGCTGCTGCTTCTCTTCGTTTTGCGGTTGTTTGAATTGAACTTAAAACCACTAAGCAAGAAGACCGCTGCGCAAGTCATTGCTGCATTGCCTGTTCAGATTGCATGCAGAAACAAACAACTTGCGCTGCTGCTACTGCTGCTGCTGTTGCTGCTGTTGCGTTTGATTTGCTCATTGTATGCTTGTTTATTGTTTATGTTTGTGCTGTAGTACGGCGTGAGTCGCGTGTTGGTGACGGCCTCTGAGATGCTGACGGCATATCAGTTGTTGATGCAGCAGGCGGAGTATTCCGTGCAAATGGGCACAAGCCGCTGCATTTCCTCGCATTTGTTTGACGCTCTTCTTTCGTTGACACTCACCGACCTGTAAGCTGCAAACCAATATATATATATATATATATATATATATATATATATATA